ATTTATAGAATAGACCTGGTTCTGTTTTACATTTGTCCGCAATCCCTTTTTCAAAATTTCTTTCTGCCTCTCTCCTCACTGCCGTGTAGTTGTTTCTCGCATCTTTGTATCGCTGGTATGTTTGGGGGTTCGGCCTCTTCCTGTATTGATTCCATTTTTGTGTCTTTCGGTCTCTAGCCCTCTCGCAATTTCTATTGAACCAATCCTGTTTCCTAGTTCTGCATCTCTGTTTTGGTATAAATTTTTTTGTGCCTTTATCATATATTTCACAAAACTTGCCATACATCTCATTCACTTCCTTGCCTAGCATCAAGTCTGTCCAATTATACTCACTAAAAAAATTTCTAAGGTCACCATAATGTCCTCTCCTGAAGTCTGGTTTTTCAACTGCTTCAACCTCCTTATTTTCTTCCAGCTTATAACGCATTGCATACTTTATTCCCAAAAAGACATGGTCACTTTTACCCAAGGGAGGAAGGTACTGAATGTCAAATATCTCTTCCTCCTTCCTGGTAAATATCAAATCTAGCATGGAGGGAACGTCCCCTTCCCTCATCCTCGTAGCTTGTTTAACATGTTGATACAAGAATGTTTCCAGGATGAGGTCTACAAATTTACAGGTCCAAAAATCTTCTGTTTTAGCTTCATATGCTTCCCAGTCTATGGATTTCAAGTTGAAGTCACCGACTATCAACAGTCGTGATCTATCGTTATCCGCTCTCGCTATAATCTCTCTCATTATTGTTATAAGACCTTCACGTTTACTATCTAGCTCCTCCTTTGACCATGTGCTGCTTGGCGGTGGACTATATGCATTTATCATCATTAGTTTATCATCCTCATAGCAGATCTCTAGTGCTATTATGTCAACTTCTTGTGGATTGGCAGTCATTATTTCCATTATTGTGTTCTAGTACTGGATCCAGGGGAAAGTCGATTGGGTATCCCAAAAGCACGACTCGTGTGCGTCTTTCTGAAGGGTCCAGCTTTTCCAAGCATACAGGTTTCCCTTGCAGGACTCTTACTTTTTCTAAGTAATTTGCAGTCTGTTGGTCTTGTGGTGTCATTATTATTTCTCGTTTCAGGTTGACTGTAATGGAAAGTTTGAGCTCTGGTTGTTCTTTTTCCATTGCCGTTACTACTCCATATGCTGTAGGAAAGTGGTCTGTCTGCATTATCTTGAATTTTGGAAGATGTGCAGAGTCTGGTGTGAGACTGGTGGTGTCCTCTCCTGTCTCATACTGTCGTCCTGTGGCTGGGCTGTGGACAGAGGTACATTGTCTGACACTGGCTGGTTTGTGACTGGTGGTGTCCTCTCCTGTCTCATACTGTCGTCTTGTGGCTGTGTTGTGGACAGAGAAGCTTTGTTTGACACTAGCTGGTGTGTGACTGGTTCTGTCTTCTCTAGGTCCATTACGTCTGCTGTCTTGCTGGTAGAAGCAAGTGGTGAAGCCTCGATAGCAGTTTTCTTCGGTGCCTGCTGCACATCGGTCCACCGTCCCTCCTCATCTGAAAGCTGCCTCCATTTCCTCTTTCTCTTAGCCTTCCCCATGACTCTCTCCACGTAGTGAGAACCGAATCACTGCCCTACCTAATGCCTGAGACACTCCTAGGCCTGGAGAAATTAATTCCCCTCCAACAGAGGTTGTAGAATGATTCCCCCAGGTGGAATCAGGGATACCTAACACCTAAAAGAGCTGTTTGGTCTACCTTTCCCTGTCAGACTCAGTACACCTTCTAAGGTGCCCCCTTGTGGCGCTGCCCGCAGGGTATTGCCTTGCCCTTCAGGGTAGGACTCTAAGTGACCTGGTCAGTGATACGTTCCTCACAAAAAAAAAGAAAAAAAAAAGTGCGGTACGAGAGTTTGGGTCGCCTGCGTACTGGGTTGCGCAGAATACCAGTCAGCTGGGCAGCAGGGAAATCAACAACGTTGTTACTCCGTCAATTGTAGATGAAATCGGAATTTTTTCCTTCAAAACAAGATATTGTCTGGGTCTTGGAGTACTGATGTATTCTTCCTCACAAAGCCGCGATGAATGGAGCTGATGGGTGCTCAGAATCATGAGTTTTTCCAGGAACAAATCCGTGTGCGGCCAGCTAGCAATGGCGCCGGCAGCGAGTCCTCTTAGGTTAGTTAGTTAGGTAGTACTTGGTTTTACTCTTAAACTGGTTGAGAGAGGTACAGTCTTTGACATGATTCGGGAGGTCATTCCACATTCTGGGTCCCTTGATTTGTAGAGCACTTCTAGTTTGGTTACACACACACACACACACACACACACACACACAGCCAAATTGTGTAACAGGAAGAGGTCTTGGACACAAATTTGTTCCATGCTAAATGTAGAGGAATCAGCTAAGTATTCCTCAAATAAAATAAGCTGCCTCAGCTTATAAGGTAAATAAAATAAGCATTTCTCAAATAAGTAGCTGCCTCACCTCACTGCCTTACTGCTACATAGCCTTCCTGGCATGGTGCCTTCTTTTGATAATTACTTGTTCCACACCCAAGTTGTGTAACAGGAAGAGGTCTTGGACCCCTACTTCCCCCTCTCTTTTTTAATAGTCCATATAGTCATAATTATAGCTTTAAATATTCAGTGAATAAAGTTTTTGACATTTTTACCCTTCTCCTTACCTAACATCATTTGTGCAGCATATTTTTATTTTATGTCTCACCCAGATTTAATTTCAAAATAAAACCAAACTAAATAAATTAGAAATGGGTATGTATAGCTAAGGTACGCCCTTACTACTAGGTGAACAGGTGCATTTGGTGATATTAAATGATCTCATCAGACAGGGCTCATCACCTCTCATATTTCATGTTCACCAGTGTTTATTTACTTAATAACTACTGGTATAATATCTTGCTATTATAAAACTAATTCTAATATCATGAAAGACATATTTATTTCAAGTTTCAAGCAGAGAATGCATATATAACTAATACGAAGGACTCTTCACGAGATTCACCAGCTATAATCTTTTGTTTACATTCCAAAATCTTAAAATCGATCCCAGTGTTATATAGTAGAGAAAAATTGAGTTATATCCAGTTTACGTAAAGCTACGAGTGGTCGACAGTACACTTAGATGACGGACCAAACTTACGAAGGTTTTTCTTCTTAGTGTAGCTACCTGAATACCGACGTAGCCGCCATGAAGGCGCTAAGAAGGAAAACATTCGTAGCTAAAAAGAAAAACATTCGTAAGTACCTTCGTGAATCTGGCCCCTGGATAATATACAAGTAATATGCAAAACAATAATATAAATACTCACAGGCAGAGCAATTATCATGAGTGATAGATAGTTGGCCGAGGTGATCTCTGGATAGTCCCCTGATGCGTCATGCTACACTATTCAAAAAATAAGTAAGGGAATAATGAAAAAGTGATTTTCAAGACTATTCAGATGATTGATGTAAACAGTATCAACTCGATTTAATGGCTTATATGGGGCTGTACCCTGGTCGTTATTTCCGGAGCTCCGGTATTTCCGAAGTGTCTTTTTTTTTTTTTTAAGTAACATTCAGGTAAAATATATTTTGTACAAACTGCCACTTGGTCCACCACTCTAGTGCCTTCTACCCTGTAACGTCACAGACTCACGGCACATTGTTTTGATTTGTCAAGAGGCTGGAGTGTTCATTCCGTGACTTTGTTGTACATATCTGCACAAACAAGAAACATCCGTGCACCATGTTGGCTCCAAATGCACTCATTGTGTCAGTGATGGCTGACTGGTGGGTGGATGGGCAGGCAGGCGGGGATGGAGAGGCTGAAATGTAGGCAGTCAGGCAGGAAGAGGCTGGGTGGTAGGCAGGGAGGGAGAGGTAGGCAGGCAGAGCTTGGGAGGGAGGCAGGCAGGCAGGCAGGCAGGCAGGCAGGCAGGCAGACAGGCAGTCAGTCAGTCGGTCAGAGGCAGGTAGGGAGAGAATGGAGATAGATGGAAGGAAGGATGGATGGATGGATGGATGGATGGATGGATGGATGGATGGATGGATGGATGGATGGATGGATGGATGGAGGGATGGATTGATGGAGGGAGGGAGGGATGGAAGGAGGGAGGGAGAGATGGGTGTTGAGTTGAGCAGAGAGAGAGAGAGAGAGTGTATGGGTGTTGGGGGGGCAGGTGGGTCAGGTTTGTCGGTGGTAGGGAAGAGACCGGCTCACTGCTAAGCCTAACACTTGACCCAATTAACCAGATGTTTCTTAAATAAATTCTGGATATACATCATCATTTATATTTTTGGTTGCAGATTTTGTTTAGTAATATTAGTAGGATAATAAAAAGTTATAAAATACATGTTTCATGAATGCTTTATTGTATTAGATGGAGATTCTCCAGGCTGTTTGTGGCTGGCTGGCAGTCTACTGAGCCATTTCCCAGAACGATCTGGGGGGGGGGGTGAGGCCGGAAGTGAGGCTGTGGGGGAGAGCAGGAGTGAGGGAGTGGGGGAGTGGTTCAGTGAGGGTGAGGGAGGGGACGATAGAGGTAGGCGGCCTGCTTGCCATGTGAAGACCCCCTGATGCCAAAACAAACCCAATACCGACCATAGGTAATATCGACCGCCAGACCGTTATATGAGGCTCTAAATACCAATCTCCCAAACCGGTCGTTATTACCGGCAGATCAGTATAAAAGAGGCCGTTAAATTGTGTGGATACCATAACATTTACTTTCGGATTGGAGATAATGCGTTCTAGCATCATTGGAATGCTAACTGGTTAGTGTGATGCAAATTATGAAATAATGCTGCAGTCAGAGACTAACAACAGAAAAGAACTGCTAATGTAAGATAAGACACTCCATTTAATTCATACAGTACTAGGTGAGGCTGCATTGTGAACATCGTCACAGAAAATGACGAAGCGTAAGGTAAGTGTCTGTGTTCGTTGGGTATGCTCGTCAAACATTATTCTCAGTTTTAAGTGGTTTCATTAATAATGTAGAAATCCCCCATTTACATTTCTTAATTTTTATTGTGGGTTTTCAGGTGTGTTGGTGGTCCATCTGCACGGAGTGGTCATAGAATGGTGGTTGTAAAGAAGCAGCTCATTGTGTTTGGGGGCTTCCATGACAATTCTCGAGATTACAAATACTTTAATGATGTATATGCCTTTAACCTTGAAGATTACAAGTGGAACAAGCTTAATGTTACTGGTAAGTGTGTATATGCCTTTAACCCTTAAACCGTGCAATACATACATACTGTATATGATTTGACATAACATAATTTAACACAAGTTTTTAAAACTTGCACAAACACTTTCCATTTTTTGTGGAGAGCCCCTTCGGCTCCCCGGAGCTATATCAGGCTGATGTGTATATATTAGACCGTGGCAACAGTCAATCGAAGGAGTTCTAGGCTTACTGAGGACCAGAGCCAGAACCTGGCCCCCTCAAGAGAGGCATGAGGAGCAATGGCCTAAAGACCATTGGAAGACCGTTTAATTGGAAGCAGCCTTTGTCTGCCATCTACCAGGTCAGGCACCCAGAAAGGTAGGAATTCCAAAACAAACTACTGCTGATCAAATAAATTGCAAACCGAAAGCCGAACTAGCTTTCTAACTAACTAACTTTCTAGAACTAACTAGGTAGTGAGACTCGGGGTGGCTTCGGGGATTGCCCCTTCTGGATCGGCGGCAGAGGCATTCGAGCCTGGTCCTCCTGCTCCAGCAGGAGGACCAGGTGTGGTGTAGTGTGATATATAATAAAATGAGTGAATCATCACTGTACTCAAAAATATGGTGTGCATATTGATGATTCAATTATGTTCATCAGTGAACAAATACTTTGTCGGTTATTACACTATATACACAGGTTATATAAAAGTATCTGCATGTTTTGTTCACCATAACGAACCACTAAGTTGGTATTATGAGTCAAAAAGCAATGAGGAGTGACCACCAAACACCAGCCAGCCACTCGCTGCCACTCACGCCCTCAACACCTCATTCGCCCACATTCTCCTGCCACCATACTGTTTTTGCTTTTATTCACTATATACAGACGTTATATATAAGTATCTATATTCGTGTTCACCATAACGAACCACTAAGTTGGCATGCTGAGTGGCAGTGGCAGTGGCAGCCAGTGACAGCCCGCCACTGGCTGCTACTTCGTTCCTCCCTCAACTCACCTGACTCACCCACATTCTCCTCCCACAATACTGTTTTTGCTTTTATTCACTATATACAGATGTTATATATAAGTATCTACATGTTTTGCTCATCACAACTGTACAACTAAGTTGATATAGTTAGTTCAGGCACTAAGAGACTTCGCTACACACAATCAGGTGGGGGCTGCTTCCCTCACACATTCAAGATCAGACACACTAAAATTTCACCCCCAACAATACTGTTTGTGGTGTTATTACCCTATATACAGACATTATATGTAAGTATCTACATGTTTTGTTCACAATAACTGTTAAACCAAGCCGGTATAATGCCCAAAGAGCATAGTGGCCACCCCTACCAACATGACAAATCATGCCGATGTTGCCATACCCATTGCCAAAATGGCTTCTCCCCCACACTCCTTTTGCTGTTATTACACTGTATTTACACGTTATATATAAGTATCTACATTTGTGTTCACCATAATGAACCACTAAGTTGGTATGCTGAGTGGCAGTGGCAGTCAGTGGCAGCCTGCCACTGGCTGCCACTCCCTCCCTCCCTCACCTCACCTCACCTGACTCGCCACCATTCTCCTCCCACCATACTGTTTTTGCTTTTATATACAGACGTTATATATAAGTACAGTATCTGCATGTTTTGTTTACCATAGTGAACGACTAAGCTGGTATAGCGAGTCCAGACAATAAAAGGTGGTCACACACAGTCAGCAGACAATGCTACCTCCCTCCCCACCAAGATTACTCCAACCACTACAGCACTAATTATCACAACAATCCTGCTATTATCAGAATCCTGGTCATTTTTATCACAGTCAGGGGTCTTCTGTAATAATATCATCGCTAAATAATAACATGAACATGTATATTATGGCCTTTTTAGGCGATGCTGTGGTCACAAGTTGAACAGCAGTGCTGTGAGCTCATGCTGTGTGTGTCAGGCTTGGTGGCTCACTCAATACTGAGGCCCTCACACCCGGGAATTTAGCCCACGATTTAAAAAAATAATGGCGTCTGTTTACAAGAGCCCTGATGAAGGTGAGGTGAACCCCGTGTATCCGCGGGCCGTTAAATCTTGCGTAGTACTCCAATACATCAAATGATGTGTTGCGCAACTTAAGGGTTAATGGCCTATATGGGGCTGTACCCAGGTCGTTAAATGCGGGGCTCCGGTATTTCCGAAATTGTTAAGTGTCAATAATATTTCAAGTAACATTCAGGTAAGATATATTTTGTAGACAGCCACTTTGTTTACCACTCTTGTGCCTTCAACCCTGTGACGTCACAGATTCACGGCACATTGTTTTGATTTGTCATGAGGCTGGAGTGTTCATTCCGTGACTTTGTTGGACATATCTGCACAGGGATGGATGGGATGGATGGAGGGAGGGATGGAAGGAGGGAGGGATGGGTTGATGGAGGGAGGGATGGATAGATGGATGGATGGAGGAAGGAATGGCTGGAGGGAGGAATGGATGGATGGATGGATGGAGGAAGGAATGGCTGGAGGGAAGGAGGGATGGATGGATGGATGGATAGAGGTAGGGAGAGAGAGAGGGATGGGATGGATAGAGGGAGGGAGGGATGGGATGGATAGAGGGAGGAATGGGATGGATAGAGGGAGGGAAGGATGGGATGGAGGGAGTGAGAGATGGATGGATGGGTGTTGAGTTGAACTACATGACCAGTGTGTGTGTGTGTGTGTGTATGAGATGTAAGGGGGTGGAGGAGGGGTGTCAGTGGTGGGGGGAGGGACAGGTTCACTCCTATAGGCTTATCACACTCGACCTCGTTAGCCAGATTTGTTTCTTAAATTCTAGATGTACGTCATCATATATATTTTTGGTTACAGATTTTGTTTAGTAATATTATTAGGATAATAAAAAGTTATAAAAATACTTGTTTCGTGAATGCTTTATTGTATTAGATGGAGATTCTCCAGGCTGTCTGGCTGGCAATCTACTGAGCCACCTCCTAGAAGGGTTTCTTTGGGGGGTGGGGGATGCAGGAAGTGAGGGTTTGGTGGAGAGCAACAGTGAGGGTGTGGGGGAGAGCAGGGAGGGTGAGGGGTGATAGAGAAAACGATAGAGGTCGGCGGGCTGCTTGCCATGTGAGGGCCCCTCCTGATGCCAAAACAAACCCAATACTGTACCGACCTACGGTTCTATCGACCGCCTGACCTGTATATGAGCCTCCCAGATACCAGTCTCCCAAACAGATCGGTAAATAAGAGGCCGTTAAATCGAGTGGATACTGTTCAATGTGTGGAACATCGCTATTCTCAAAATTATGGACTTCATAAAAGTGACATACATACATACATATGTGAACAAGCCTGAATGGTCCCCAGGCATATATGCAACTGAAAACTCACACCCCAGAAGTGACTCGAACCCATACTGCCAGGAGCACTCTGCAACTGGTGTACAGGACACCTTAACCACTCGACCATCACAACCGGACAAAAGATGATGGTAGCCGAGGCTAATTCCCCATCATCCTGCTGGCACACTGATGGTAATCTTGGGCATAGTATTTTATCAAATTACCTTATTCTTTGGGGCACACGTGAGGAACACAAATGCGAACAAGCCTGAATGGTCCCCAGGCATATATGCAACTGAAAACTCACACCCCAGAAGTGACTCGAACCCATACTGCCAGGAACACTCTGCAACTGGTGTATAGGACACCTTAACCACTCGACCATCACGATCGGACAAAGGATGATGGTAGCCGAGGCTAATTCCCCATCATCTCGCTAGCACTCACCGTCAGAGTGCCGGACCATCAAAGTGCTGTAGGACAAGTGTGGAGTTGACAACCCTGAAAAGAATAGAAACATTTCGTTGCTGTTTGGCGTTCACGGCTAGTGATCGACGTAGTTCTTTATTTGGTGCTGGTCTATCTCATGCTTTGGTGACATTTTATACTTGTTCTTCTAGAACATTCTATTGCGAACACATTGGTACAAAAAGGAAATGCGTATATCGAAAATTAAGGTCAGGACAGTGAAAAGAGTATACACTTCAGTGTTGCCGCTCGATCGCCCGAAACGCCGCGCACACTTGGGGCAAGGTTTTTTTTTGGTTTGCCGAGAGCGAGAAAGTGTTAAATTAATATGGTTGCAACAGTAAATGTGGCTTAATATTGTTGCAACAATAAATGTAGCTTAATATGGTTGAAACAGTAAATATGGTGTAATAGGGTTGCAACAGTAAATGTGGCTTTACCCTTAAACCGTGAAATACATATATAGATGTTTTCAGTAACAAAACCGAAACTGCCAATACATTAATAGCTGTTTTAGTGTCTAGAGCCTTAATTTAAACGCCCGCATGGGATAGGGGCAGCTATAGTGCAGCCACGACAAATAGTTAACAGACGCCACCTAGAAAAAAAATCGTGGCTAACATTCCTGGGTGTGAGAGTGTCAGTATTGCGCGAGCCATCAAGACTGATGCACGCAGCATGAGCGCACAGCACTGCTGTTCAGCTTGTGACCACAGTATCGCCTAAAAATGTCAAAATATATATGTTCTTGCTATTATTTAGTGATGATAGTATTACAGAAGACCCCTGACTGTGATAACACTGACCAGGATTCTGATAATAGCAGGAGTGTGGTGATATTTAGCGCTGTGCTCCATAGAGCGAGGAGTAATGCTATGGAAGGGAGGGTGGTGGTGTCGTCTTCTGACTGTGTATGGCCACCTTTTATTGACCGCACTCACCATACCAGCTTAGTGGTACGCTATGGTGAACACAAATGTAGATAATTATATATAACGTGTGTATTGAGTGTAATACTGTAACAGCAATAGGAGTAGGTTGGGAGCCGCTATTTTGTTGAGGGAGGTGCGTCGTCTGCACGACTTGGCATGTTGTTTACTAATGGCCACTATGGTCTTTGGGCACCATACCAGCTTATTTGTACAGGTATGGTGAATAAAACAGGTAGATACTTATATATAATGTGTGTATATAGTGTAATAACACCACAAACAATATTGTTGGA